GTTATTGCTGCCAAAGGTCCTGGCTCCTTGGACTGGACAATCGCACAATTGCTGCACCACTCGTCTTTCCTCATCACTCCCTTAGCGCTTTCCTCCCTCCCTCCACAGCTGCTAGCATCGGAGAGGCCAAACATCCTGGCGCTACTAGCAGGCCTCATAGGCATCAAGGCAGCCATCGTCACACCTTTCAACTCACTTTCTCCAACTCTTGGTGTTCATCTCCCCCTCTCTCTTTCTTTTCCAGCTGCTAGCATCGGAGAGGCCAAACATCCTGGCGCTACTAGCAGGCCTCATAGGCATCAAGGCAGCCATCGTCACACCTTTCAACTCACTTTCTCCAACTCTTGGTGTTCATCTCCCCCTCTCTCTTTCTTTTCCAGCTGCTAGCATCGGAGAGGCCAAACATCCTGGCGCTACTAGCAGGCCTCATAGTGGGAATATACGCTTAACACCTTAAGCGTATAGCGTATGTACGCTAGCGTACATACGCTATCCGCTATACGCTAGCTAATACGCTATACGCTATCAGAAATTTTTTAGGGCTGCCCGAAAAAAAATCGCAAAAAAGAATTCCTAGGTGAGCATTTCGCCATAGTCGAAATTCAAATCCGCGGTCTAGGCAAACGGGGATCTGACTTCGAAGTCGTCTGGCAAATCTTGAATTTGAGATCCATATAGGGATTGAAATCCATCCCTTCTACCGCATTGAACCCCACTTTATCTACAAACACCAACCTGTCCAATTTAACCCCCCAACAAATCTCACGGTACTTACCAGCCAACCCTTTTGGCTAACCCTAACTCGTCATTTCGTTCCCGCTTTCACCAGAGTTCACGCTACTTCGCTTTCAAGCTATTAGGTCTACTCCACCTCCCATTGTACGAGTCATTCGGATTCAGGATTATGCTAGGGCAAGCCTTAATAAGAAGAGGGAGTACTTTTTTCACCTGCCCGGAAAGTTTTTCCTCTGCCCGAAAAAGCGTATCTGCAAACCGGACCCCTAAGCGGATAGCGTACATACGCTAGCGTATATGCGACACGCGTATATACGCTATACGCGTATATTCCCACTTCATAGGCATCAAGGCAGCCATCGTCACACCTTTCAACTCACTTTCTCCAACTCTTGGTGTTCATCTCCCCCTCTCTCTTTCTTTTCCAGCTGCTAGCATCGGAGTGGCCAAACATCCTGGCGCTCCTGACGGGTCTCATAGGCATCAAGGCAGCCATCATCACAGCCCTCGGCCCACGTGTGGGCCTCACTCTCTCGGAGTCCGTGCGCACGGGGCTGCTGCTGTCCCAGGGGGGCGAGTTCGCCTTCGTCGTCTTTGCCCTGGCCAACCAGTGAGTTATATTTTCATATCTAAACCCCACTCCCGGTGTGCCTGACCGCCTCATAGGCACAAAGGCAACCATCATTATGGCGCTAGGGCTGCGTGTGGGGGTCAATCTCTCGGAGTCTGTGCGCACGGGGCTGCTGCTGTGGCAAGGGGGCGAGTTCGCCTTTGTTAACTTCGCCCTTGCCAGCCAGTGAGTCATATTTCCATAGCATAACCCACGCTCTCCCTCACCAAAAGTTGTCCTCGCCCTCGCCAACCAGTGAGTCATAAGTGTTCAACATAACACACGTTTCTGCCTCGCTCGTCTTGTGTTTTTCGAGGCGCCTCATTAGTTGTCTTCTCCATTGCCAAAAGTTCTCCTCGCCCTCGCCATCCAGTGAGTCAACAGAACCCCCCCTCTTGCCTCACTTGGCTTGTCAATCCCAATCCACATGTTTCACGGAGCTCTACATAACATCTTTGACTCTCTCCCTCCCTCCCTCCCTCCCTCCCTCCCTCCCTATCCCTCTCCCACCATTCAGGCTGGGCGTGCTCCCACTGGAGCTGAACCGGCTGCTCATCATCGTTGTGGTGCTATCCATGGCGCTCACGCCCTTCCTTGACGCCCTGGGGCGCAGAGCAGCAGAGTACATTGAAGACAATATCGAATCCAGGGACGCTGCCACCGTTGCTGCTGCGGGCGTGCGTGGTGGGGCAGCTGTGGGTAGACTGGGACCGGGTGGGAATGGAGCGATGAGCGAAGGTGAAGGCAGCATGGAAGGCCAGCAGGTGAGTCCATGTCTCTCTGCTGTTGCTGCCAGGGCCGTGAGTGGTGTGGGTGGCGTGGCGGAGTCTGTTGGTAGACTGGGTGCGGGTGGGAATGAGACGATGAGTGAAGCTGATGGCGGCATGGAAGGCCAACAGGTGAGTCCATGCCTCTCTGCTGTTGCTGCCGGGGGCGCAGGGCCGATAGTCACTCTGGGATTCAACCGGATGGGGCAGGTGCTCACCAGTGTACCTTCTCCTCCATATTCCCGGATTAACCCCCTGTTGCTCATGTCACCATCACAGGCAGGCGCATCCCACTCTACTCACTTCGCTGGCGCAGAGCCGATAGTCATTTCGGTGTTCAACCAGATGGGCCAGGTTCTCACCAGTGTACCCTCCCCTCCCTATCCATCCATCCCCGTCTCTCCTACCACCATCACAGGCAGGCGCATCCCACTCTACGCACTTCGCCGGTGCGGAGCCGATTGTCATTCTAGGGTTCAACCAGATGGGGCAGGTGCTGGCCAATTTCCTCTCCACGCCACTTGCAGCGGGGTCAGGGGGCGACGCTGCTGGTTGGAACTTCATTTCCTTCGATCTCAACCCCAAGCGCGTGCGGGTAAGGCCGCCTACTACACTCCCTTTCAACATTTCCTCCAGTTCCAACTTGTAACGGGTTTCAAGCTTCCTTAGTACCCAACACTCTTCAAACCTCACCCTTGCCCCTCTCAATCCACTGACAGCTTGGCGCATCGCTCGGTTTCCCTGTCCTGTATGGCGACGGCAGCCGCCCGGCAGTGTTGGAATCAGCCGGCATTAGCCGCCCGAAGGCCTTCATGGTCGTCTATTCCAGCCGCACCCGATCCGTGGCTTCAATCGAGCGGCTCAAAGAGGCGTTCCCTGGGGTGAGTGTCTGTGATATATTGTGTGAGTTTTTGTGATGTCAGTTGTGCGTGTTTGTGATGTCAGTTCTGAATGTCTGAAATCACTCGTGAGCTGACTCACAAGTCACCACCTCTTTCTCCTCCCTCCTCCCCTCGCTCCTCCCCAGGTGCCTCTGTACGCACGGGCAGTGGACGCAGTGCATCTCTCGGAACTGAGGCGCGCAGGAGCCACTGACGTGGTGCTGGAGAGTGCTGAGGTGAGTTCAAGACACACTAGGTTTTTCTCCTTTGTCGGATTGTCTTATTCGTCGAAGACTTGTAAGTACAGCAATCAAGGTGCCTCTGATTCTTTTCTCCACCTCTCATCCCTCTTGCCCTTCAGACCACTACCTCGCAGCTGTTCCCCAAACGCTACTAGCTACTCTTTTTCTCTCGTTCTCAACCCTGCTCCTCGCCCTACACACTATCTAGCACATATTGCACTCGTCTCCCGTGCACCCATGCAGACTAGGCTTTATGCTGCTGCAGGAGATGGGGGTGATGCAGGACGACCTGGTGTTTGTGCCATTTCTCCCTCTCGCCCGCCCCTGATCCAACCCCTGCTCCTCTTCTCCCCCGTCCCTTCACTGCAGACTGGTCTCCGCCTGGGCTCCATGCTTCTGCAGGACATGGGAGTGATGCGAGACGATGTGGTGTTTGTGCGGCGCCTCATGCGGGACGCCATGGACCAAAGGGCTCTCTCTGCTTCCTCCTCCCAATCCTCCGACCTCATCTCCTCCCGCCCTCTTCTCGAAACTCTCAAGGTAAGGCTTCTCCTTCATCCCTGGTTGCTGTGCGTGGAATCTTCAAGCAGTTCTTTATCATTCTAAAAAACCGTATCGACTCTCCAGTCAAGCTTGTTGTGCGCACTCTTCGACTTCAATCCACCTGAACTGTAATGTATCGCCTTTACCGTCTGTTCATCCATCAGGAGACGCTTGGTCGGAGAGCCATTCGGCCCATAGAGCCCACAGCCTTCCTCATGAATCAACAAGATGACCGCACCGCCGCTCCTTCATCTGCAGCCTCCGCTGCAGCTTCTGCTGTCGATGGGGACACGATTCAGCAGGAGAATCCTGCTAAAGTTGCCGCGTTTACCGCTACCCGTGCATCCACAGTGGCTGCTACAGCTGCAGCTGCCGCTACAGCGGGCGTGCTTGTCGCGAGCAAAGAAGACAATACTTCAGCAGCTCCAAAAGAAGAGGGAGAGGGCTCAAAAGCAGGGATCAAAGAAGCGCCTGTAGCAAGGGGTTTAGGTGCAGCAGAGCTCCCGTCCCTCGAGTCACCAATGGGAATCAACCCCGTGTTCGTACTGGCAGACGCGCAGGCTTCGCCTGACGGCATGCTGCAGTACTTCTCCGATGGAGAGGACTTTGTGGACCGGAATCTCAGTCTTGATGCCAGTCAGCTACCCGCAGGCGCTACCATGCCGCCTTCGTTGGACTCGCCAGCAGTGCTGGGAGAGGGGTTCGGCTCGGAAGGATTGCAAGCCGCGGCGGGTGAGAGGCTGGTCTACTTTTCAGATGGGGATGATTTCGTTGATGTCAAGCTGGAGCTTCCTCAGTCTGGTGACTTCCCTCGGGAAAAGTAACTAGATATTTATACGGTGATGCTTGTGTATCACGATGGATACACTGACTCTATCCTTGCTAATGCAGGTTCATTTTTCCTATGTAAGCACCATGTATTTCTGGAAAAAATTCAGTGCTGGCCAAGCAATAACATCCAATCAAACTCTCCTCAGCTTCCATCATTGACAACAAAGAAAGTGAATGCATTTCACTTGCACCAACAAGATTACAGCATGCTACTGCGATAAGCACCACAAATACACCACCACCAACACCTTTGGGCACAATCCTCTAGGGCGCTTCGCTTTCTCTTCACGTAAGACAGCACAAAAGACCATCCCTAAACGCCTCATCTGACGCCTGGCAGAGCTGTAGATTGTCCAGAAAAGGGCCAGCTTCTATTGAAAACCAATTCTCCTTAGAAGCCCCGGCCAACGGACCAGACGCGGATGTAACCGTCAGTGTAACCACCATAGAGGGTGGCTCCATCTGCGCTCCAGTTGAGGCTCACACAGTACGGTGTCTGGTAAGGGGTCAAGAGGGCAAAGAGAGAGGAAGTGAGCAAGGAAATGGGGGGGGAAAGGTTAGTGTGCGAGGAAGTGGGAAGGCGAGGAATGGGATGGTCAAGGGTGGGTGGAGAGTAAGAAAGGTGAGAAATGGGACACTCTTAGCAGCTCTCTGAAAGTCCTCCATGCAACTGCAAACCCTATCATCTGCAGCAATTTGAGGTCGTAATCACCCTGTCTCATCACCCCTCAACTTGTTCCCCCAGCCTCCCCCAGCCTCCCCCAGCCTCCTAACCCCCGACGAAGCCCAAAACGTGCACCGGTGGAGCAAAACTAGCGTACCAGGCTTGCCTGTTCTCATGCCCGTTAAACTCCGTGCTCCTCTCCTCTCACCTCGCCTGAACCCCGCGTGCACCTCGCCTCTTATGCTTAAACGACCGTTTCTGGAAAGGAAACAACAGCATTGTTTCGGATTCGGCACCACGACTTCACACGGCTCACGTAACTCCCCCCCCTCGTTTCCTTCCCTCCCAGTATGCCCCAGATCTCTGTGTTGCTTGTCACTGTTAGCACACCACAGGGGGGCACCGCCCTGCTCCTCGCCTGCCACTTTCCCTCACGCACTCCATAAAGCCCTCCCTTCCCCTCACCCGTCTATTTCATTCACCCGTCCCTTGACTCTCCTCCTCCCCTCCGCTCACCCCCCCTCGACCCTCCCCCTTCCACACGCACCTGGCATTTTGTCTTTCCCCGCCTGTCATCGGTCTGAGCTGACCCCTCCGGCACGAGGGTGTCCACGAGGCGCTTGTTCCCCAGATCACCCCACCACCAACCCCCTTTTCCCCCTACGCCCCTCTGTCACTTCCCTCCAGTACCCTAATTGTGCCGCTCCAGCCCCCTCGCTTACTTTACCCCCCCTCCTCCTCCTTCGCCTGGCCCTTGAACTCCCCCTATTTACCTTCTACCCCCAACCCTCCTCTTAATGCTCCTCCCCCCTACTCACCTGGCCCTTGAACTCCGTGCTGCCGCGGGCGCGAACGAGCTCGAAGTCCGGCACAAGGGTATCCACGAGGCTCTTGTTCTCCAGGTCACCCCACCACCTCCCTTACCCCCTACACCCTGCCACTCCCCCCTCGCATTCCAATTTGCCCCATTCCCCTCCCCTCCCCTCACCTGGCCCTTGAACTCCGCGCCGGCGCCGCGCGAGCGGACCAGCTCGTAGTCCGGCACGAGCGTGTCCACGAGGCTCTTGCTCTCCAGGTCACCCCACCATCCCTCTTTTCCCCCTAACCCCTTTTGTCACTCCCCCCTCATGTCCCCAATAGAGCCGCTCCCTGCCTCTAAACCTCACCAACACCCCCCCACCCTCCCCCTCACCTGGCCCTTGAACTCCGTGCCGCCGCGCGCGCGAACCAGCTCAAAGTCCGGCACGAGGGTGTCCACAAGGCTCTAGCTCTCCAGGTCACCCCACCACCCTCCCTTTCCCCCCTACACCCTGTCACTTCCCCCTCATATTCCAGTGTGCCCCATCCCCCCGCCCCTCCCCTCACCTGGCCCTTGAACTCCGCGCCGGCGCGCGCGCGAACGAGCTCGAAGTCAGGCACGAGGGTATCCACAAGGCTCTTGCTCTCCAGGTCCCAGATCTTAATCGACGACTGCGTCGCGGCGCACAGCCAGTAGCGGTTCGGCGAGAAGCAGAGCGAGTGGATGATGTCACCCGCGTCGAGCGAGTACAGCCGCTTGCCCTCCGCCAGATCCCACAGCATCGCCACGCCGTCCTTTCCGCCGGACGCGCACAGCGAGCCGTCAGGGGAGACGGTCACCGTGTTGACGTAGCCGGTGTGGCCCAGCAGGTTCTGGCGGAGCTTGCAGTTGGTCAGGTTCCACACCTTCACCACCTGTGGGGGGAAAGAGGGGGACGGGGGAAGGAGGAGGGGCAAGCGGGTGGGGATTGATGTTGATGGGAGCAGTTTCTGGCGGAGCTTGCAGTTGGTCAGGTTCCGCACCTCACCACCCGGGGGGAAGGGGGGGGACGAGCGGAGAAGAAGGAAGCGCGATTGGGAAGGGAAAGGGGACAGGGGGTTCGGGCGGAGCTAGCGGCGGAGCAAGGCCTGAGCTTGCGATTGGTCAGGTTTCCTACCATCACCACCTGGGGGGACGGGGGAGAGAGGAGAAAGGGGAATGGGCAAGGATCAAGGGGGAAATGGGGAGGGGGAAAGGGGAGACGGGAGAGGAAAGGGGATTAGGAAAAATAATGGTATTGATGCGAGCTGTTGTGGTCGGAGCTGGAGGTGGCGCAGGTCCTGGCGGCGCATGGAACCCATGCAGAATCCAACGAGACGGTTGAGCCGACTCAACGGCTCTACGGGACAGTTCTGGCGTGTCGCATGTGCACAGGTGCGAGCGGGGCGGAGGGGCAGAGGGAGGAGCCCGCCCGTGCGAGAGGGGCGAAGGGAGGGGCCTGACTGCTAGCGCACAATCGAGCGTCGCAGTTGTTAGGCGGGAGAACTACGGCAGCTGCAATCTCCTTACTCCACCTTGGCGGGAAAAGTACGTAGTCCAACCCAACTGCGATCGTAACCTCATTATACACGGCCTGATGCCAGGCGCCTATTGAATCCTTTTCTAGCCGCCCGGGGACTTGCCAAAAGAACCTCATCCCAACCCCCCTATGAACCTAATCCCCGCCGCCCAACAAACCTAATCCCAACAGCCCAAGGATCCTAAACTCAGCCGCGCAACGAATCAGATCCTCGCTGTCCAACGAACCTTGTCCCAGCCGGCGGAGACGATAATGGGCTGAGTGTTGACGGGCGAGAAGCGCACGCACGACACCCACCCCTGGTGAGCGTCCGCGTCGTTCATCGTGTACTTGCACTCGCCCAGCGTGTTCCACAGCTTGATGCTGCGATCGCGCGACCCGGACACGATCTGACGGTTGTCGACGCTGAAGGCGACGCTGAGCACGTCCTTGGTGTGGCCGACGAAGCGGCGCGTGGTGGCGCCGGTGTTGAGGTCCCACAGGCGGAGGGTGCTGTCCCACGAGCCGGACAGCGCGAACTGACCGTCGGATGAGATCACGACGTCCTGTTGTACGCGTTAGAGGGTGAGTGTGGGGAAAGGGGAAGGGAGACGTGAATCGGAATGCGCTGGTGTTCAGGTCCCGCAAGCCGGAGAGCCCTATCTGACCATCGGAAGACCTAGCGTATGCGTTATACTGGGTGAGTGCGACCAGAGAGCATGGAGACGAAGGAACGATAGAATGGCGACGTGAATAAACGGCCAACAGGAAAGATGTTGCTGGCAAATGCGGGACGACAGTCGACGAATGGCGGCCACACACCATCTATAAGTTACTAAGCAATCCGCGAATACGTCGAGCGGCGGGCACAAATGTGAGCCTCGACGAGCTACTAGCTAATTCGGCAAATCACACCAGTGTGCAAACACACGGGCTCTTTGTCGCATAATGAGCGCAGCTAGCTCAGCCACAACACCAGCAATTTTTAGATCCACTAACAGACCGGAAACTTGCGCAGTTTACGCCGGGAGACCGAGAATCTATAATGAAACGCAGCTGCACGAAACCTCCGTGAAAAAAATAAAATAGGAATCTAGAAGATTCGAAGCTTCACCTGCACGAAACCGCCATGGCCGGTGAGGCGGCGCTTGGGCACACCGGCGAGCTGCACGCCCGTGGCGGAGGCGGCGTCGCGAGTGAGCGACCACGACATGATGCCCTTATCGCGCGAGCATGAGATGATAGAATCGCTGTTGTCGATCGGGCACGCGATCGACGTGACCCAATCGGAGTGGCCCTTGAGGTGGCCGCGGAAGCTAAGTTGCTCACCCATGGCGGCGAGTTAGGAGACAGAGGAGAGGACGGAGAAGAGAATAAAGGGCGAAAAGAGAATTAGGGTTTGCGGAACGGCTGCTAAGAAGGCTGCGACTAGCAGTTCGAGGTGAAGCGGAGGGAGAGAAAGAGGGCGAGTGAGAGGTGAGGGGGGGAAGAAAAAGGGAGAGCCGCGGGCGGGGGGGGTGGGGGAGGTAAATGGGGGATGCGGGGAAGGGAAGGTGGTGCGGAGTGTGCGGTCAGAGCGGGAAGCGGGCGGTGCGGAAAAACAGCGCTGTGTGGTTGCACTAGGCAGAGATTCTTTGAGGGGAATGCGCGAGGCGGAGGGTGAGCGGGAGCAGGTTTCCTAGCGGAGGGTCGACGGTTTTGAGTGGTTGTGTCATTTGTCTGCAAACTCACAGTTCTTCGTTTGAGTGTATCTCCCATGATATCTTTAGTAGGTGAAAGAGGGTTCAAAGAAACTAAATCCGCACATATTTTTTTAACATTGGGATTCGTGTAACACATTGACGGTTTTTGCGGGACAAATTGGCTCATATAATCAATTGTAAATACTGTTGAACAGATTTAGCATAATCAATATGAGTTATATCGGTTTTTTGAAGTGTAGTATCATGCAACTATGTTTGCCAATACCTTTTTCAAAACGTTCTTTACAGAAATGGTATGTAGAGAGCAACTTGACATGTTTTCCTGATGCACAGTTCGTTGGTTTCATAGGAGGAGATTGAAATGTTTTTAGCGAGCAGGCCTATCTGCGGGAAATGACGTGGCAGTCCATTCCATGTGGCAGCGTGTGTGGACCTCCATCCCTCGGGATTCCCAGCGCCGATTCCCACCAGCACGGCCCATCCCATCCCAACCCAGGCTCTGCTTCATTTCTCGCAGCGCAATTTGCATACCTTGCTTTGCCCTCCTCACTGCTGCTTTTCACTTTCACTTTTCGCTTTTCCGTTTGGAGGCCATCCAACGGTGTGCTCTCCCGTACCTAGCTCGTTTCCGAGCCGCAACTACAGACGCGACGTGAATCCATGGCTTCCGCCACGCTCCTTCCGGCTGCGGCCAACCTCAAGGTACCCGCGCGCCGAGCTTTAGGGACATCATTGCATCGTTGTCTGATGTCCCTTCTCGAACGCTGCCGCCCTCCCTCATCGTTGACAAATGTCGATCGTTCTCATCCCGCGCTCCCGTCTTCGCCGTTCGTTCGCATTCCCCCCGCCGTTTCCCCGCGCAGGTCAGCGGGCTGTGCGCGTCCCAGACTCGCCTCGCCTCGTCCGCTGCATCCCTCGCGGGATCCAAGCCTCAAGGTACTCGTTTTAAGGTACTCGTTTGAAGGTACTCGGTTTTTGGTACTTGTTCGAAGGTACTCGTGTTAAGAAACTCGTCTCAAGGTACTCATTCTGAGGCACTCTTGCAGTCTGTTCCTGAGATCTACTGTCGGCGAGCTCTCTATTGCGTAGCTTAGGTGGGTTTCTTTTCTTGGCAAGTCGTCCTTGCATACGAAGGATTTTATCTAATGCCCGTGTGCCGTCGCTCACTTCCGTCCCCTTGCCCTTCGCGCCTCGTTCCATTGCCCATCGCCGTGTCCTGCGCAGCCCAGACGAGCCGTCGTCGCGTCGCTGCTGCCTCCGCCGCTCGCGCATCCGCCGCAGCCGAAACGTCGGCGGTGCCGCCCGCATGGCCGGGACGCGCCGAGGCGCCCGCGTCGCCGCACGACTGGGCCGAGCCGAAGGCGATCTCGCTGATTGGGTCGACCGGGTCTATCGGCACTCAGGTGAAACACGTGGCACTCAGGTGAGACACGTGGCACCAGGTAAGACACGTGGCACTCGGGTGAGAAACGTGGCACTCAGGTAAGACACGTGGCACTCGGGTGAAAAACGTGGCACTCAGGTAAGAGACGTGGCACTCAGGTGAGACGCGAGGCACTCACGTGGGGAATATATCGCTACCAGAAGACCAGAGACTGGGTTATGGCCACTTGAACCGTTTTCAGAGTTATTATATATCTCTTTCTCCCCCCTACCCTCCCCTACCCCCTCTTCCCCCTCTCTCCACTCTCGTGCCTTGTTGTTTTCAACCCCCCTCTCTCTTTATCTCGCCTGCTTCCCCCCTCGCCCCGTCCCCGCTCCCCCGTGCGTGCGGGTGGCAGACTTTGGACATAGTGGCGGAGCATCCCGACAGGTTCAAGATCGTCGCGCTCGCCGCCGGCTCCAACATCGCGCTCCTGGCGCAGCAGGTGTGCACGCATGGCGCAGCAGGTGCGCACGCATGACGTAGCAGGTGCGCGTGGGTTAACAGGTGCGCATGCGTGGCGCAGCAGGTGCATGGCACAACAGGTGCGTGGCGCAACAGGTGCGTGGCACAACAGGTGCATGGCACAACAGGTGCGTGGCACAACAGGTGCATGCCACAACAGGTGCATGGCACAACAGGTGCGTGGCACAGCAGGTGCATGCCACAACAGGTGCATGGCACAACAGGTGCATGCCACAACAGGTGCGTGGCACAACAGGTGCGTGGCACAGCAGGTGCATGCCACAACAGGTGCATGGCACAACAGGTGCATGGCACAACAGGTGCGTGGCACAACAGGTGCGTGGCACAACAGGTGCGTGGCACACCAGGTGCATGGCACAACAGGTGTACGCCACAACAGGTGCGTGGCGCAACAGGTGCGTAGCGCAACAGATGCGTGGCGCAACAGGTGCATGGCTCAACAGGTGCGCGTGGGTTAACAGGTGCGCATGCATGGCGCAGCAGGTGCATGGCGCAACAGGTGCATGGCGCAACAGGTGCGCACGGCGCAAGCATGTCTTTCACTCCCTCCTCATTTCGTACCGCCTCCCGCCTTCCTCTCACCCCTCACTCCCTCCCTGCCATTCTCCCGTGTCTACCCCCACCTGCGCCGTTCCCCCCTGTGCGCGGAGCAGGTGCGCCAGTTCCAGCCGTCGCTGGTGTCGGTGCAGAACCCCGCGCTGGTGGGGGAGCTCAAGGAGGCGCTCGCGGGAATGGAGCGCATGCCGGAGATCGTGGCGGGAGACTCGGGGATCGTCGAGGTGAGGCGAGGACAGGGAGGAGAAGTGCTGGGGTTATGAAGGACGGAGGTGGGGGTAGGAGGAGGCGAGGCGGCGGCGTGAAGGAAGGGGTGGGGTGAGAAAACGAAGATGGGAGGGGGGAAGGGAGAGGGCAATGAGTCGGATTTTTGAGGCGCCTCAAAAGGCTTTCAGGCAGTTTTGAGGTTCAGGGCGGAGGGAGTCGTTTGGTCGCCTTACATCAATTCACCGCTCTAATTTCATCCCTGTCCCTACTGCGTGTGTCTCCATGGGCGTGGGCGTGTGATCATGTGTTTGTGTATGTGGGTATGTGCGCGCGCGTGTGATGGTCATGATCATGCAGGTGGCACAGCATCCTGATGCGGAGACAGTGGTCACGGGCATTGTGGGGTGCGCGGGACTCAAGGTGCGTTGGGCTGGGGGCAGCTTTTGAGACGTCTCAAAAGTCGTCTACTTACACACGGATTTTGAGACGTCTCAAAAGTCGTCTACTTACACACGGATTTTGAGACGTCTCAAAAGTCGTCTACTTACACACGGATTTTGAGACGTCTCAAAAGTCATTGTGGGGTGCGCGGGACTCAAGGTGCGTTGGGCTGGGGGCAGGCTCTGTGAGGGACGGGGGTAGGTAGACTGTTACAGATTGGGGGAGCTGTAGTCGGTTGATATGCATTTCAATGGTGGAGTCATGCTGTCTTGCATGCAATGGACTGGTCCAGCGAACATCAAGTAGCTCCCTCCATGCATCACTGCCATGCGACATCTTATGTGGTGATGCGTGCGTGCATGTCTCCATGCATGCAGCCGACAGTGGCGGCCATAGAGGCGGGTAAGGACATCGCCCTGGCGAACAAGGAGACGCTCATCGCAGGCGGGCCGTACGTGCTGCCGCTCGCCAAGAAGCACGGCTGCCACATCCTGCCCGCTGACTCGGAGCACTCCGCCATCTTCCAGGTGCGCCCTGCCCAGGTGTGCCTCACCCATTCCATGGGTGCGGTGGCAGATGGCTTTTGAGTCGAGAGGTAGAAGAAGCACGGCTGTCACATCCTGCCCGCTGACTCGGAGCACTCCGCCATCTTCCAGGTGCGCTCTCATCCACCCACACAACCACCCACCCACCCAACCAAGCACTCCGGTTTCTTCATCCCTTCCACTTCACCCATCTGCACCCCTCTTAACCCACATAGAATTCGTCTTGACTCCTGACCCTGCTTGGGAGACCGCGTGGTTAATATCCTCCCCCCCTTCAACACCCCCCCACCCCCACCCCCCCACTCCCCCCTCCCACCCCTCCTTCTCCCCCTTTGTATGCGCGGCAGTGCATCCAAGGGCTGCCAGAGGGCGGTCTGCGTCGCATCATCCTCACTGCCTCTGGTGGCGCCTTCAGGTGCGCACTCACATGCCATGTTACACTCCAGCCAGCCATGGCACATGTCATACCATGCCCACGCTCACATGCCATGTTACACTCCAGCCAGCCATCCCACATTCCATGCCACATTCCACATGACGTGCCACATGCCACATGCCGCATGTCATACCATGCCACATTTCATTCCACCAGCTATGCCACATGCCATGTCCATACCAGATGGGACCACACTTCCTCTCTATAATCCCCTCCCTCCCCTTCATCTCCCCCAGGGACTGGCCGGTGGAGAAGCTCAAGGAGGTGACCCCAGCGGACGCGTTGAAGCATCCCAACTGGAGCATGGGCAGGAAGATCACTGTCGACTCCGCTACACTCATGAACAAGGTGCGTGGGGGCAGGCAGCAGGTGGGCAAGGGGAGTGCACAAGGTTGGGAAAGGGCCAGGTGTTAACTGTCAGAAGATGCGTTGAAGCACCCCCACTGGAGCATGGGCCCGAAGATTATTGTCGATTCCGCCACGCTCATGAACAAGGTGCGGGCGCTGTGAGGGGGGCAGGCTGCAGGAGGGTAGGGG